GTACGACGTTGTCAGTTATGGTTCTTTTCAGGTCATTTTATCTGTGGCAGTTAGATGACAATAGTGGTGATTAAATAACGTAATTTTCGGCACCAACACATGCCCTCTCTCTTCCTTCAGCTTTAGCTATTGTACATTGCCCGGCACACACCGGTAAAACTGATCTTGTCTCCCTGGGCAATGCCTTAGCAGACTGTACTGCTAGAGCTTTAGCTACTGGACAGCATGTGACTGATGTGGTTCTATTGTCAACACATCAGGTTGACAATATTGCTCTTCTACAACATCAATCTCTTATGCATCCTACTACTGATATGACTAAATCTGAAAATGGCATTTTATTTCATACTCCATCAGGTAAACCGGTACTGCCACCGTCCCTCTCTTCTTGGGCTGCACATGTGTCCCATGGGCAGTGCCATGTGACAACAGCAGGGGTGATTGGTGCAGTACAACAAGTTTTTTACTGTTCAAATTTTCAAAAAGCTGCACAGAACATGTACAACAGTGCATAATCTGTTTAAAACATAATGCTCACGGAGCTGTAAGAACAAGACACGGCTCATTTCCGATGCCAAAAAAAACCTTTAAACACCTACACATGGACCATATTGAACTAAACAAATCACAACCAGGACTGTGTGGAATAAGAGGGACATTATGTTTCTTAACCTTTATCACATTGATTATTGTGTTCCCAATCATGTGGTGGGAATACCAAACACGAATAGACAATGATACCATGAATGGAACTGAATCTTATTTTCAGAACAACTCGTCTCATCCACTGAGATGAAGGAGAGCTTTGGAGGACAATCATGACCATGAGGACAATCATTGGTTTCAGGTTGCTAATTTCACAGCACGCAATTTAACTGATTGTTATGTTCCAATCTTACTGCTTCTGTGCTACATCTTGCGGAATTTGTTAAAGATGATCCTGAAAAGCGTGCTATGAAAAGCATGATTACACAAAATCGCATGGCATTAAACTTCCTTCTAGCAGAGAAGGGAGAGGTCTGTGCCCTTGTTGGTGATTATTGTTGTATATTTATTCCTGATTCGACTGATAATATTACACAGATCATTGGTGAAGTGCAAGCTTTACAGGAACATCTCCAAACACAAAAAGATTTGATTTAGATTTTTATTTCATCAGACCTTTATTTGATCTTTATTTGAAGTTTTTTGTGTTAGGAAACTGGGGTATGATCTAACAGCATTTTTTACAGTCCTATCTAACAGAGAAAGTTTCCTGGAAAACTGCTTCCCCTTCCTGAAGCGCCGGATGGTTTGCCAGAATTTTTTCGAGGCCGACCAGTAGTCCTCC